GAATCCATAGATTCAAAGCCAGTCAGGGAGAATGAAGGATGTATGTCATCCTGAACTAAAGAGAAGAGGGTAGAGGTCTGGGACTTCAAGGAAAATGGGAAGCAATTCACAGGAGTATGAAAGAGTAAACATTGGTAAACAAATGTTTGCTGGGCCACACAGAAACAATGGGACACAGAGAGGAATCCTAATAGACTGAGTCACGTTCTCCCCTGTCTACTACCCCTAGGTCATGCTGTGATGTAGTTATCTCTGATGAGAGCTTCCCTTTTGGGGCAGTTCCTCCATCTAAATCCTTTTTATGTGGTTGAGCAGGGATGTCAAGATTTCTTTCTGAGTCTTTTTGGCCCTGACTGTTTTCAACTCTGAAGCAATCTACATGTTGATGATGGCATATCTGGGGTGGTGCTCTTGGACCCTATACACAACAGCGAGCATCTAGTTAACACTACTGCAGTGTACACTTAAAAATGGTTAAGATGCTAAAAAAGGTTTTAAAAAACAAGAGAGGTTTTTTCCCCAAACAAAGCAACACCTACCCCCCCAAGATTCTCTGTTTATTCCTCTGGGTGTTAGAGATGTGACAGTGACTAGGAACAGCTCCTGCCCCAGACCTCAGGGTGTTTACACTGCGGCGGCGGGGAGACTTCTCAATGGAGAAAGCACAGGAACGAATGTAAAACGACAAGTGAGGCAGTGCTCTGAGGAGCTGCACCCAGTGCTCTGAGCATGTTAGTTAAATCAGAGCACGGACCGGGCAGGAGTTGAGGTGAGGGCCCAGGACTGAGTCCTGAGAAGGGGAAGAGCTCACTACAGGTGGGGAATCAGGGTGGGGGGCGTGCTCTGGGAGGGAAGGAACACACACCCTTTTATGAGTGTCTAGAAGGACACACATATACCACCTCCCTTAGCAGCTACTCCCCCCGGGTAGGGGTTACCCCTGTGCCCTACCTCCTTCCTAGGCTCTCTACTGTCCAACTTTTCTACTGTGAGCTTGGATGATTTTGCAGGAAGGAAAAGTTATAAAAAACTGACCTTACTGCACAGATGAACTGCATTGCTCTTTGTTTATTTATGCTCCTCCTTGTTTCAAGGGTATTTCAAACTGCTTAAAGTTATGTTAATAGAGCAGACTAAAATACCTTGTTACTAAGTTTAAAAAAAAAGAGACTAAGGGAAAATACAGCTAAAGAGGAGAAAGGAGTGAGGCATCCCTTCATCCATGAGGAGTAGCCGAGTCATGCTCCATGTCAAGTCTTGTCCAGCCATTTCATTTGCCTACGGATATTTAATTGTCCTGTTTTTATACTTTGTCTTCTCATTTCTATTGAAAATCTTTCATTGTGATTTCCTCTGCCCCTTATTACTCTCTTTCCCCTAAATCGTATCTTTTTATTTTTCTGTTGTACCTTTCTGTAGTTTTAAAAATCCATCCCCCATCCAGACAGGATCCACCTCAGCACAGTGATGTATTCAGAGCCTGTAGGGTAGGTCCTCAAATGTGTGAGCAAACGGCTGAGCTGGGACTGAGAATGACTCACCCCCACTCCCTGCGGCACCTGTCCAGTGACACACCCCCAGCAGGGGCTCAGGACCCAGTTGCCAATTTGATTTATGGGACTTATTATCCCAAGTGGCGGCAGAGAATAGATATTGATTCAAAAGGGTTTAAATAAATAAGTGGATGCATGGTCCAAAGAGAGCTATAGACTGAGGAGAGGGGTCAGTAAAGCAGCTGAAGCAGATGGCATAAAGAAATGCTGGTCCTCTTGAAAACTGTGCCTACGGGAGACATGGAGGGGCAGGGAGGGGCAGTGGCGTCAGCAAGCACAGGTTCACATCCAGGCTCCATCACATCAGCTGCCATTGGGCAAATCACAGAAACAAAAAGACCTTTTATAAGGATTACCAAGAGAATTGTATATGCATATGCATATGTACATGCATATATGCATACATGTGTATCTGTGTGCATATCTGTATGTGTAGACATATGTGTATACATTCATGTGCACGCATGCTCATTATGTATTATGTGTATGCATGTGCATGCATGTGCATGTGTGTGTATATGTATGCATGTATATATGTATCTGTCCATGCATATGTATATGGCTCATGCCCTGGCACATAATAGATGCTCCATAAGTGAACATGCTCTTCTGTATCACTGCCCTTCTATTCCATTTGTGCAATAGTGAGCAACCTGATGTAAGAGTATGTAAAGCATTTCTAAAGCACCCCCATAATACTTCATATAGCAATCTCAGGCTTTTAATTTCCACAAGCTCAATATTGTCACTATCACCAGCAACAATTATGGTTCTCCTTTTAAATCACTTACAATATGTTCGTTACTATGGCTGCATAGCAAATTCCTCCAACATGTAGGGGCATCCAGCAACCATTTAATTTGCTTATGGATTTTGTGAAATTGGAATTCAGAGAGAGCACAGGCAGTGGCTGATCTCTGCTCTGTGCTGTCTGACACCTCAGCTTGAAGGCTGGGGGCTGGAGTTATCTGCAGGCTCCTTCCCTCATATGTCTGATGAGAGACGCTGGTTGATGGCTGGGAACCGAACTGAGGCTGTTGGCTGGAACACCTACACATGGCCTCTGACTTCTTCTCAGTATGGAGGCTGGCTCCAAGGGAAGTGTCCCGAGAGAGAGGGCCCAGTGAAAGCTGTGTCACCGTTTATGACTCAGCCTTGGAAATCACAGTGTCACCTCTACCATATTCCACTGGCAAAGCAGTTACAGAGCTCTGCCCAGGTTGAAGGGGACAGGACCCAGATGCCTCTTGAGGGAGCAGTGTTGATGTCACACTGAAAGAAGAGTACATGAGATGGGATACATGTTGGTGTGGCCATCTTTGCAAAATATAATCTGCCACACTATTTGTCAGGTAGTTTAGATGATCTCTTATTCCTCAAAAAACACTGAGGGTCTAGGTATAATTATCTCCATTCTAGAGATGGAAAAACTGAGGCTCAGAGAGGCAAAATAACTTGCCTCGGGCAATATATTTAACCTTTCTGAACCTCAGTTAGCCCCTTTATCAAATAAGTAGAAAAATTTCCACTTGAATGGACTATTATGAGCTGACAATGCTTATCACCTTATGGGGCTGTTGTTGGAAGGCTGTGATCTCTAACCCACTGTGCTAATGCAAAGTACCAATCTTTATTGTTGTAACCTCATTATTTCCTTGCCTTCCACCTACAACCATCTGTCACACACATCCCCTAGCCAGCCAGGAACCCAGGTTCTCATCACAGGCCCTCAGGAGCAGAACTTGTTAAAGCGTTTCAGTGGGAGTTCATTTCAGTATAGCAGACAAGCCCACACCACCCCTTCTCTGCCAGACCTCATCTTCCAGGAGCAAAGCACCTTGGGAAGAATGCTAGTGTTTGTATATGAGTTCCCAATGTGTGACTTTTAGCACTTCATTTAGTCAACTACAAGTAAGTAGCCCTTTGGTTAAAAATGGCCATCTGTTGCACCATGCATCTCTCTCCCAAGAGAACATAAGGAAGGACTAGCATTTTTGCATTTGTTTATGGGCCCCGGGAGGACTTTTCTGGCTCCTGAATGGGCCAAAGACCACCTTGGAAAATCACTTCTCCTGGGATTCATTCCAAGACCTGTATCCCTCATTGTCAAACCACCTGCAAGGTCTGAGGCCTTAAGGAACCTTCTTTGCTATGATTTGTCCATTAAACAGACAATTGACTTTTCTTTTAATATGGCTCAAATTGGAAAGGGGCAGGAGAAAGGGCTAGAGAGTTTGTGGAGGCCTGAAAGGCTGCTCTTGTTTAAGGGCCTGCTGGGCCAGCTGCCTCAGGGCAGTAGAGAAAGGAGTGTGGAAGGGGACAGAAGTTATTCAGCAGGCTCTGCTGGCCTGCACCCCTACTCCTCAGGGACTGGAAGCACTTAGACTGACCTCCAGAACTTCAGGTGGTGGGTGACTGTGTAACGGAGGTGAAGTAACAGCACCAGGCTCTGAAGTAACAGCCCTGGCTTTGCAATCTTGGAAGGGCCAGCTTCAAATGGCCCTGGCCCCTTAGAGCAAGGTAATGGTGGACCAGTAATTTAAGGTCTCCAAGGCTCACATTCACTGTCTTCATCTGACCACTGGGTAAAGTGAGGGGTAGAGGAATGCTAACTACTAGCATCATGCCTGATACCTGGAGAGGCCCAATATATGGGGATTGTTTTGTCTCCTAGTTTTAATCCTTAAAACAATCACTTCACAAATAAGAGATTGGAAAATCTAAAAGCATGTTTTTGCCTGCAAATGCTGCTGCTCACTTGCCACAGTGGTAGGCACAAACATCTGTCCACGAGCCCAAACTGTAGTTTGACATCTCTGGGAGGCTGCCTGGCCTAGCAGAGTGTCCCTGGACTGCGCTGGGGAGAAGCAGCTATGCAGCTCTCACTGATCCCAGCTTCTGCTTGGTTGGTCTTTAAAAGGTAGGTTTCTCTTCTCCTGCCCCAAATCTCCACCATCTCTTACCCTCATCACTACCCTGAACAAAGTAAAACTGAAAAATCCCTATAGCACAGAGGAGAAAATTGAGGCTCAGAGAGGGGCTGTGATCTGCCTGGGGTCACACAGCACACAGGTGCCAAAGGTAGGAGGGTTCAGTGCTCCAGGGGGGATATTCCAGCCCCCCAGTGGCTGGCAAGTGCGACTCCTTGGAGCTTTAACTCCTCCTCCCTCTGCCATGTCAATAAAAGGAAAACCATTTCCCTTTCCTGGCTTCTCTGCCAGCCCAGAAAGACTGAGTGAAGAGGAATTGTCTCCAAATATACTGGATACTCTTCCCTGGCTCCTCAGTTTTGCTGTCTGTTGTTTGTAATCTGTTTCCTATGAGACGCTGGGACTTGCAGGTGTGGGGGCCTGGGTGACAGCTGTGCTCCTCTGGGCTGGGTACCTGCTCTCCCAAGTTTGTATCCCAGGGCTGTGTGCTCAGACTTGACCATATTTGGGCATGGAGGCTCGTCCCAGATGGGGACCAAAGGCCGCTTCCCCAGAGATGGGCTGGGAGCCCAACCTTCCTGTTGGAGCTCAGGCAGCCTCTTTTAGGGGTGGGGGCTGGGAGCCAGGCAGAAAGAAGCTGCCTGCGGAAGACTCCAGGGCCCGGGAGACTGTGAGTACTGGGTCCGAGAGCACTTGGGAACTGGTTTCTCCAAAGAGGGGCTGGAGGGGGGAGATCTTTGAGGAGGGAGGCCGGTAGAGGGAACTCCCTTCTTCGAAGGGCTGTCTGTCAGGATTCTGGGCTCCAGGAAGGCTGACATCGGTGTCACTGGGGACTAGAACTGCTGGCGTCTGGGCCTGTGGTCTGATGGCCTGCTGGGGGCAGGGCGGCTGCAGGGCCAAGTCCCTTGAGTAGCTCAGTCCACTTGCCCTCAGGTCGCAGCTCCCAAAGCAGCCAGAGGGCAGCAGCCTAGAGATTAGGAGCAGTTCCGGCACGTCACCAGGGGAGGGGTGGGACAAGAAATCGGCTCAGCGAGAGCACTGAGCACTCCGGCTCCAAGCCTTCAGGGCTCCCTTTTTAATGGTAATAGCTAATGCTTATCAAGGGCTTGTGTTGGGCCAGGAACTATGATAAGTATGTGATAGTTAATGTATCATTTGATCTGTATCAGAACTCTCTGAGGTAGGTACTATTATTCTTTTACAATCACGTGGTTGCCAACTGACAAAACCAAAATTTGATCCCATGTCTGATGACTTCACATTCCTAAGGAAGAAGATCAACACAAATACCAGGTTACCCAGGAGCCTGCCTTTGCCTTTCAGTCTTTCCTAAATCCATCCCAGACCAGATGACTTTTCTAAATGGGAAGCTATATCCAAGAAAGTCCACAGATATTTAATAACTCTCAAAACCAAGGAGTTCTTCTTGGAGTCTAACTGAAATATCTGCAAACAAACAAACAAAACACTACAAAAAAGAATTTAGAGGAAGGCTATTGGGCGACTCACAGGACAGATGCAAAAGCCAGACAGCTCTGGCTCTGGGCAGCACGCAGGTGTCAGAGCCACGCTCCTGGAGGGTCTCATTCCCCCTGGGAGGGCGGGACTGTGCTTGCACTGGGGTGAGTTGGATCCCTAGGAGAAAACGAGGGGGCTCCTGCTTGCAGAAGCCAGGAGGATGAAGCCGCCAGGTGCTTCAACCCATTCTGCTTTGGCTCCTGGGTGGCCCAAGAGAGCAGGTGCAGCAGCCACTGCAATATTCTCGCCTGAAGTAGGGAGTGGCCTTTACAAGGTCCTGACTGCTGGGCCCTCCTGCCATCCCCACTGCCCTGCTATGCATCCCCTGCATGCATCTCTGGGCCAGTCAGCCCTGCGGTGGGCCTGTTTCAGCAGAACCATGAAATGCTCCAGGTTTTCTGAGCCAAGTGTCCCAGGAGAAAGTGCAGAGATGTCCCACCTCTGCTGCTTACCGTATTAGCTCATCTCACTGTATTAGTTTCCTATTGCCACAAACTTGGTGGCCCCAAACAATAGAAATCTTCTCACACACAGTTCTAGAGGCCAGAAGTCCAAAATCAGCAAGATGTCAACAGGGTCCCACTCCCTCCAGACGCTGCAGGGGACAATGTATTGTTTCTTGTCTCCTCCAGTTTCTCATGGCTGCTGGCACTCCCCAGCTTGAGGCCACACCAATATGATCTCTCTTTCCCTAGTCAAATCACACCTTCCCTTCTTCTGTGTCTAATGTCCCTTTGCCTCCTTCTTTTAAGAACACTTGTGATTACATTTAGAGTCTACATGAATAATCTCCCCATCTCAAGATCCTTAACTTAAAGTCTTTGCCATGTGAAGTAATAGTCACAGATTCCAGGGCTAAGAACATGGGCCTCTTGGAGGCCATTGTTGAACTCACCACATGCTGTGTGACCTTGGGCAAGTTGTTTTACCCCTGTGAGCCACGGGTCTGTTATCTTTAGAATGGGGATAATGATACTTACCTCTCAGAGCTGGTGGGAGGCTTACATGGGGTCAAAAATGCCCTCTGAAGTTCTACAGTTCCATATAAAAATAAGGGGTGATGTTGATATCTGCACATCCTCCCCTCACCTGTCCTCCCATCAGTCAATTATTTTTCATGTGTGCTGATCTCATGTTTATTTGACTCTGTGGCCCTAGAAATGATCACTGTCCCCAGTGGAAATGGGGAAGAAGTTGGTGATGGCCCAGAAGCGGGGAGAGACTCGGGCCCTCTGCCTGGGTGTGGCCATGGTGGTGTGCGCCGTCATCACCTACTATATCCTGAGCACCACTATGCTGCCCCTCTACCTGAAAAGGTACCAAACCCGCTGGCCTGCTCCTATGCTCCAGCCTCTCCCCTGAGGCTCTGGTCTGCTAGGAACCCCAGCCTTCTTTCTACTCCTCCCCTTGACCCTCTCACCAGGCAGGGTGGTCTGCACAATCTTCATGCTTTGAGTCAAGGGTTCAAGTGCAGGGAGGGTGGCCAGACTAGGCCCTGCTTGTCTAGCATTCTGGGACTTGGGGGTAGAAGATGCCGGAAGACGTTCTCATAAGAAACAGCAAAGATTGAAGCAAACACTCCAGTGTAAGTTTGATTCCTGGAGGGCCAGAATATTTTGTAGCTCATCTAAACAGTTTGATTCACTCTGCAGTTTCCTGGTCAGGTGGGCATCTAGTCTCCTGTTGAATATTTCAAGTGATGGGGAGCTCACTACCTCCTTGTGCATACCATTTCATTGCAGGGCTTTTCTGATAATTGTCTATCCTGAGCTAAAACCTACTCCCCTGCAGCTCTACTCTGGAATCTCAGAGAATGTTTGATGCCCTTGCTCTCTGACATGTCAGCCAGGTGAGCTTTTAAAGGAAAAGCTGGGAAGTTCTTGACGCACACTCCATTTGGAACAAACACTCTGTTCTCTCTGCTTGCTCCTAGGATAAGTCTCAGACCCTTGCCTCTGGGCATGTCTCAGCTGCTGATAGCCCCCTCTGTCTGGCCCTGTGTCTCCTGCCTGATAAATGGGAGATGAGTCACAGGTGATTCACTCCTGTGTTGATGAGCCTGCTAGCCTCTCCTGGGCCTGCTTCCGGGTAGAGCAGTTTCAGGCTGGGATCTTACCTGACTGGGGCACTGCTCAGAACAGCTGTGTGTATCCAACACCTTATCTTCAGGTTAAGTGCCATCCTCACCATCTTTACCAGCCTGGCACAGATAAACCCCTTTTAGATCTACTCTTTTTGCATGGATTGTAAAGCTACCCAAACCTGGCTTTAGGTCCTGTGTGGCTTCAGAAAAGTCACTTAGCCTTTCTGAACTTCTCTTCCAGAATCTGCAAGATAAAGGTGACATGGAAAAGGGATTCTCAGGCCTGGCTGCTCATTAGAATCACTGTGAGGAGCTTTAAAAAAAAAACATACCAGGGCCTGGGCCCCATTTACCTTGGAAATTCTGATTCACTTGTTCTGGGATGTGGCTTGGACATGGGACTCTTTAAAAGCTCCCTGGATTTTAGTCAGCAGCCAGGATGAGAACCATTTATGTAGGTGGTGTTAAAGAGGCCAAGAACAATGATATTCTGGTTCTATGATTCTTCCCTTAGGTCATGCTCCTTTAGTGCTGGGTGCTTATGGCAGGATGAGGGTCCCAGTCCTGAGTCTCTCTAAAGGGGTTCAAACCGGGTGCTCTGTGCCATCCAGGCTCTGAGATGTGTATGTATGTGTGTATGTGGTCTTCCCAGCGTGTGGAACCAGGAATCCACGTGCCACCTGATTGAGACCAACATCAGGGACCAGGAGGAGCTGGAGGGCAAGAAGGTGCCCCAGTACCCATGTCTGTGGGTCAACGTGTCAGCAGTGGGCCGGTGGGCAGTGCTATACCACACGGAGGACACGCGGGACCAGAACCAGCAGGTACCAGTGTGGGTGGGGGGCTGTCACATCTCCTTACCCCAGCAGGTGCATGGGCCTGCCCCTAACTGTCTCTCAGCCCTGCTCTGGAGAGCAGAGGCTCAGAAAAATGAGTGCCCCAGACCAGGGCCCGTGGCCGGTATGAAGCCCAGGTAGGAGCTACTCTTCTCAGTTAGGCTCAGACAGACCTGGGTTCGATCCCTGCTCTGCTGCTCGCTGGCTGTGGACCTGGGGCAGGCACAGGCCATTCCTTTGGAGCCCCTCTAAGCCTCAGTCTCCATCCCTGTTGAAGTGCTGTTATGAAGTCAGACTGTATGTAACATGCCAAGCTTGATGCTGGGAAGAAGCAGTTTTAGGGTTATTCCTTCATTCTGTAAAGTGAGTCAAATGAGACCAGACAAGGCTGACCCCACTGAGGAGAGCCCTTCTGACCTTCCAGGGGTGGAACCTCTGGAGGGCAATGCTTGGGAGATGTTCCCACCACTGACTCCCAGCCTGTGCCCCCGAGCCCCCTGTGCACCATGGTAGCCCCTCCCTTAGGAAATACGAGTTAGCCCATATCCATTCATTAACTGACTTATTCACTCAACAGTCACTGTGCACCACCTGTGTCAGGGGCTTTGGACTCAGGAGAGAGCACGTGCATGAACTAAGACCTAGTGGGGGACTCAGTGCCATGGCGAGGAACAGAGAAAATTATGGGGTGGCAGGAGGGAGTGACGTTTTCCAGCCAACAGCAAGATGAGGGTATCAGAAAGGCTTTTGGGCTAGGCTTTAAAATTCAGGGAGGTACTGGACACACAGCAACATGGAGGGCGGCAAACACCCGGAGGGTGGGCACAGGCAAGTCATGGTGGAAGGAAAGGCTGGGTAGAGACCAGGATCCAGAGACAGCTGCAGAAAATGGCACAGGATGGGGTGTAGCAGGCAAAGACTGCAGGGGAGGGCAGAGGTCTGCTCCCAGAAGACCTCAACACTACCCAGTTATGGAATTAAAAAGAGTTTTTTATGTTTTTGTTTTCCGAGATAAAAGTTTATGAAGAATGCTACAAGTTATGGATAATAATAATGGACTTAGGCATATATGTTCAATCAGGATATATATATTTTTAAGCTTTCAAAGTCTAGCATAAAGAAGGGAATTGGGGGAAGTGCTAAGCTTATCTGCAATCCACATTGTACCAAAAACACACTGGTTCAACCAAATGAGAAGTGGAGGCTAATCCTGCCTGTATAAGCACATATTAAGAGCAAAGGCCAAGGCGGTCTGGTCTCTCTGATTCCACAAGGACTGGTCTCTCCTCAGTCTGAGCTCATGACAGATGGTGTTCCTTTGCATCAAAAGGCCAGAGCTTTACCTGGAACAAGTTCATTCCAAATAACGTTATGGCACTGGTTTTCACAGGAAGTGGAATCATTAGTGTCTCTTATCTGACCCCACAATTTCTAGAAGGTTCTAATGATTATCAGGAATTAAAATTTAAACAAACCATAAAGAAGGGAAATAGTAATGATATTCTGGCACTGTATAAGCTGTGCGCTTGTCATTTTTATGGAGGACTACGAACTACAGAATTAAAACGTGACCGTGCACGTTGGTGCTCCTCACTGGCTGTGCATCAGGATCACCCGGAGAACTGAGCAAAACCTATACTGGACCAGCTGAAGCAGAACCTCTGGCTCTCCAGGTGGTCCGAAGTGTGAGCATTACTGCTGTGAAACACTGGGAGGCTTTCACGGGTCTGGGGCCCTGAGAGCATGACCAGCGGGGTGCACAGGAGTGCGGATTCAGTTTCTGGGCAGAGAAGTGGGGGCCCAGCAAGTCAAATGCCCAGGATGGAGGCTGGCCTGCAGTAGGGATGCTGCAGTCAGAATCCAGTGGCTGATAAGCATCAGGGTGCCTAGGGGGACAATGGGATCACTGGTGGTGCTGGGGGGTCATGGAGAAAAGTCTGGACTGTGCCAGGTGGCCAGACCGATTCTGTTGTCACTAGCATGACTCAGCCCCCCAGGTGGAGAAAGAACCTCCAAGTGCCCCTGCACCAGCTGCTGTCAGGACTCCTGCCTCTTTTTTGGCATTTGATGCCCCCTGATTCATCTCAAGGAGCAAAAGGCAAATTCTCAAAGACAAGCAGAAGTGGTTGCCGGTGTGACAGGGGTCCGAATGGGTTGGCCAGCAGGCTGCCTCCCTGGACCTGAGGTTGTCAGCTCAGAGCAGCATGAGTCCAGGTGGTCCCCTGACGTGAGCTGTCAGCAGCATGTGAGACATACCTCTTCCTGGCCCTGGAGGGTGAGCAGGGGCCTTTCTACCTTTCTTTTGGTAGTCTCTCTAAAGGGGTTCAAACCCGGTGTTCTGTGCCATCCAGGCTCTGAGCACCGTGTGTAGGGAATCCTCTGGATCCATGTGTGACAGGCCAGGCAAGGCTTTGTGCCCCACCCTGACTCTGAGGGTAGGGGCCACCAGAGCCCATCTGTTGTTCCATGAACCTTAGCTATGGAGGTTCTGAGCCACATCCCATGGTCTGTACTGAGGACAGTGATGTCACAGGCCTCTGGGGAAAGGTTGGGCATTTCAGACCTTTCAGACAATGCAGAGGTAGCTGGATCCAGGGGAGGGGAGAGAAGATGTAAGTAGGGCCCAGGCCTCTGGGGTTGGACATGCAGTGTAAACTCTTGTCCAGTGTGTTGCCCAAAAACTCCTGCCAAAAGGGTCTGTGAAAGATTCTATGGGGTCCAGGCTGTGCACAAGCCCCCCCAAGCTTGTCCATGGTCCCCTCTTTAAGTAGGGAAAGCAGGAGCTGGTATTGCAATTTGAGGGTTAAGTCACAATATTATTATTTTTAATAATATTAGCTGCTCCCATTTATTGAGCATTTACTATGTGATGAGTGCTTTCCATGCATCATCTCTGCTAAACCCATTGACAGTTCACCAAGGCACCCTCATGAACCTGTTTTACTAGTCTCAAAGAGATTGTGGCCCTTACCGAGGTCACACAACCTGGACCCAGGCCTGTCTGGCTTTGTAGCCTCACCTTTCTCATTGCGCTAGGACATCCAAGGTCACAGGTAGAGGCACTGGCTAGGCCCTCTCAACTTGGGATTCTGACTCCACCTGCTACTGGGATGCCACCGTGTCCCAAAACTCTAAACACCTGATTCTGTAGGAGCCTGCTGCTCCTCACCCTCTGCTGCTCCCTGCCTGGGTGGGGACCTCCTTCTGGATGCAGTTCCCCGACTTCCCAGGCTGTCAGGACTGTCACAACCATCTTCTATACTGCTGGGCAAGTGCTGTCAGTGCATGGAGGCAGCCCTGGGGGCCAGGCCTCATTCAAACCAGGGAGTAGCCGAGGCCTGGGGAGAAGCTGACCAACAAATTTACTACTTTTATCTCAGACACGATTGCAGTAGGCCAGTGGTCTCAAACTCTTATGCATGAAGGACCCACCTGATTGTTGAGCCCCCTCCTCAGCCATACAGAATGAGCAGGAGCAGAAGCTTATGGCCAGTCCTTCAGGGAAGGTCTGCAGCAGGTGCAGCAGGGCACCACCCTTGCAGAACATCTCCCAGTGGCTCACATGAGCAATATTCAGGCCTCCCAGCACACAACAGAAATAAAATCAGGGTCCCCACTTTGTGCCTTCTCTGTAGAGCTTTCCAGCTGGACCTCATCTGACTAGGCCAGAGGTTGCTAATAACAATGATCAGTGTCAGACTTAAATGTGTACCATGCTCTGCCTGCATGAAGCTCTTTTAAATGCACTCTCTCTTTCTTTGGAGTCCCAGTGTCCAATGCCAGCTTGCCAACCGCTTTTGTTTGGCTCACCTCAGAGGGTTTTTCAATTCAGAATTTTGCCAACATTTTAAAATTATGAGAGTTCACATTGAAATCTGGTTTTCAGGTTTCTCAAAATGTCCCAAGCCTGGCATAATAGGTCTTCTGGATTGCATGGCATCCATTGTCTGGATGGAGTGATGACTGCTAGTCTGGATCTGCCTTGTTCTCTCCATGTCACTAGGCCCCTCCATTCCCTAACAATTCTCCTTGGTGTTATGACAAGTTTCAGTTGACACCTGTCATCTTCTTCCCTCATCTGTGTCCTTGTAGACATCACCTGCACAAGGCCTATAGGTAACTGAGTACACGACCTCTGCCTTAAACCCAAATACAGAGCCCACTTGGCCTGTGTCACACATTGGTCTCCTTAGACAGTTAAGTTTAAAATCCTTTTTTAATAACAGCCTTTGAAAAAGGTATTGCTAGTAACTCATTTAAGAGGCAAAGATATGAAGGCTCAGAAAGGTGAGCGATTTGCCTAAAGTTCTACAGCCAGTGTGAGCAGGGCAAGGGCTCCAACTAGAACCCCGGCCTCCAATTGTGCAGGGTGTACCCTGAGCAGCTCCGGGGCCACCATCCTCACCAACAATGCTGTGAAGGCGCCTTCTAGGACAGTCAGTACCCAGCCTGCCAAGCTTCAGATGGTCCCGGCTCCGAAGCCATCACCTTGCTTTACTCCGTACCAGCCCTCAGCTCTGAGCACAAGGCAGCAGGAATGTCCAACCCCATGGGTGCTGTTGCTTCTCCCCTCCAGTGCTCCTACATCCCGGGCAGCCTGGACAACTACCAGCGGGCCCGGGCTGATGTGGAGAAGGTCAGAACCAAATTCCACGAGCACCGGGTTTTCTACTGCTTCTCCACGACTCAGGAAAATGAGACCAGCGTCCTGTACCAGCGCCTCTACGGACCCCGGAACCTCCTCTTCTTCCTCTTTTGGCCCACCTTCCTGCTGACCAGTGGCCTCCTCATTATCGCCATGGTGAAGATCAACCAGTCCCTCTCCATCCTGGCAGCCCAGAAATAGACCCATCCATGCCACAACACTGCTCAGGCTGCAGGGGACCTGGTGGGCCCCAGGCTGCCACCCACTTGGGTACCCATTCCTCCTCCCCCTGCCTCCCCACTGTTTCCTTGCAATCCACTGCATGGGGCCTTTGGGCAATCTCTTTGTTAAGTCAATTCCTGCTCAAGAATGTACAGTGGCTCCTTAGTGCCTTGGAGGGCACAAGGCCAGCCAGTTATAGCTCTCCATTACCTGTCCCTACTCAACTGACTCAAACCCAGATCTACTGTGCCACCCACCACCCCGCAGACAATAATGAGTCTTCCCTCTGGGCCTGTGTTCTCGTGTTTGACTTGAAGGCCTGCCTGTCCTGCCCAGGAAGCCACCCTGGGCAAACCTCAGTTCCTTCTTTGAATTCCATAATGAAAACAACAGCGGCTCCCATGTGTAGGGCACATTTAGAGTGTCGCTTGTTTTCAGGACACCAAGTGCCTATATGTAGTTTTATTCCAATATTAATAAATATGGGTATAAGCTTTTAGTTATAAAATAAGTAAGTTGTGTGATATAATTGGATACAATACAACATAGTGACTTCAGTTAGTAATACTGTAGTGCGTATTTCAAAGTTGCTAAAAGAGTAGATCATAGAAGTCCTCATCACAAGAAAATAAAGTATAACTATAAAAGGTGATGGATGTTAACTAGACTCATGTGGTGATCATTTTGCCGTATACACAAATACTGAATTTTTATGTTGTACACCTGAAACTAATATAATGTCATGTGTCAATTATACCTCAGTAAGAAAACAAATATATAAAAATGTTATATGTCAAAACATACCTTTATAAGAAAACAAATATATAAAAATACAATGAGGCAATAAGAAAACTATTAAAAATCATAAAAATATTAACAGTAGGACGATGGTTAATTTTAATTTTCTTCCTCACCCTTCTTTTTATTTTTGATACTTTTCTAAATTTCAACAGTAAGAAGGTTTGGTTTTGCTGTTTGTTTTTATGATTAAAAGCAACATCAGATATTATTTTGTAGAGTCTGAAAGGGTGAGTCCTCCACCTCGGCTGGAGAGGGCACTGAGCTCCAACCAGAGACAGGGTTTTGGGAAAACACAATTTTAAGAATTGTCTATGGAGACAAGGTGACCACGTAGGTGGAGATTCGTAATTTACAGTGCAGGTATTTACAAGGCACTGGCCCTGCAGGGAGCCGGTCTCTGACTTGAAAAGGGTATAACTGGAGGAAGCTGTCATCTCTATCATTAATACTCGAAGAAGGGTCCCTTGCTGTTCTCAGAGGAGTGTGGTGGGGTGGGAAGGGGACTGAGGAGGGGGCTGTAGCAATGCTGAGGGGATTCTGACAAGGACTCAAGCCTGAGAACCACGGGTAGGGAGACCCAGTGCCCTGCTCCGGCATTTTGGAATGGGTAAATGACTCCTTGGCAGGGCAAGTCCTGAGCTGGATCAGAAGTAAGGCTGGTGTCTCTGGAGTTCCTTTTGGAGCTGTGCTTCTAGGCACAGCCCCTGGATGTAGGTCCTGTCTCTGCTTCTGCCAGATTTCATCTCTGATCCTCAGTTGTTTAATCTACAAAAGATAGATTCCTCCTGCGGGTGGTTGGGAGGGCTAAATGGAAGTAGTAGGCAAAATGGAAGCTGTTGTTAATAAAAACAATAAGTAATGAATACACAGAAACTTCCAGAAGAAATTATACCAACAATAATATTAGCTAGCATTTATTTGTACTTGTTTATTATATGCCTGGCTCTGTGCTAAGCCATTTTGCCTAACAAAAATTCAATGAGGTACTACTGAACTCATCTCGTAGAGGAGAAGCAACATGGAACAGTGTTTATGTATGTAGACTTGCGATGTGGACTGCCTGCGTTCAAATACCCAAACCTGCCATTCACTAACTGGGTGACTTTGGACAAACAACCTCTCGGTGACTCAATTTTCTCATTTGCAAAATAGGAACTAATAATATTATTTTCTTTTTAGGGTTGTTATTAAATGACTTATTATGTAAGGTTCCTAGAATAGTAGTTGACACATGGTAAGTACTCTATCAACATTATGAAAAACTGAGTCTCTAAGAGGTCATTGGTCAGGGTCATCCTATACAGAGCTAGGAATCAAGCCCTGGACTATGTGATTCCAGAGCTTGGCCTGTCAACCACAGCATCAAACAGACTCAGCTGCAGAGCTGAGGGCCCTAGACACCCAAAGGCCCAGGGGTCAGGTGAGGAATAGCATTGCACCCCTGGAACCCAACAGTGCCCTCGTGTACGTCAGGGGTCAGAGAGGAGAGCAGCTGGAACAAGCACCAACATCTCTCACTTCCAGCCAGGGAGCTCTGGTGCATCCCCTGCTCCCTTCCTCCCCCACGTCATTTGAGCACATTCCCTCCAAGGGGAGGTGGCACACTGTTCCCCAGAGTTTCTCCCTTCTGAGACCAGGGAAGCCTCAGGAGTCCTCTCAGTGTTCAAAGAATGTCTCAGCAGTGATGTTGTACTACAGTTTGGTAAGATAGTATCAGTAGGGGAAATTAGGCAAAGGGAACATGGGGTCTCTCTGTATTATTTCTCACAACTGTGTGGGAATTTGCAGTTATCGAAAAAGATTAAGTTTAATTTTTAAAAAAAGAAGAAAAAATATCCCACCGTGAGTCTCACTTGAAGGGGCTCCTTTGCATCTGGTTTCTATGCACCTGCATTTGGGCTTAAAATACCCAAAAACTCATAATACCCAACGAGCCTCTGAAGGTGGAAAGGCCATGTCTCTAGAAAAATTAATGCCTGGGGATGCTTAGCCTCCCCTGCCCCATGCATTATTAAGATGACCTTCATTTGCTGTGACAAATGCCCTCCTCCTGTCAACAGACAGTGACCTACTTCTATCAAGTCCCACATCTGCCTGCTGCTCAGGGAACTTCATGTAAGGGATGAGTGTGAAATAATGGGCATTAAGTATGGTGGAGTTAGACACGGAGGAAAAATATGTTTTGGAATAATGGCTGCCTGGGAGCAGAGAGCCCTTGTCAGTTATTAATAAATCACTCCACTAACAAACATCTAGTGCTTCCACTGTTTTTGCTTTTCATCTCCTGGGCCAGTGGCTCATATCTGGAGAAGGGCACCTGCGTGATGCTCCCTGTGCCTCTCCTGAACTCAGACCTCCTGGGGGAGATCAGGGACGAGCCCTGGGGAGGGGCTGAAATGAGTCAGAGGCACCTGCTTTCAAGGAGCTCTCCACCCCCACCAACCCCCCACTTCCTAGCCCCTCCCCCACCATTAACAAGGATGTCCTTCTTCATAGAGAGCCTAATTCATGCAAATTCAAAATAGTGTGATATGAGGTATTAATAAAATCATAATTATTGTGACCTGCTGAAATGTTGCCAACCTCCCCCCACAAAATGACAATTCATCCAAAATTTTTCCTAATTTTAGAACTCCCTGGGACTGTAAACTGCATTCTTTCTATTGCTGATTGGCAGCACAGACTGATGCCCAAGGAATACCCAATGCCTTTTGCATTAGTGCTGCATTTGGGGGTTTGAATTACATGACATTTTGGGGAATATGCTGTTTGAACAAAGTGTAGCTGCCCTGTACCTCCCCAGCTGCTGCCGTTTCACACACAGGGAAAAGAGAACCATCACTGCAAGATGAGAAAGACAGAGAGAAATTCACTGCAGTTTAGCGTAGCAGTTCTCAAAGTGGAAGCTTGCAAGGTCAAAACTCTGTTCGTAATAATATTGAAATGCTCTGCTTTTTGCTGGATTTCCACAGCTCTCCCTTCCCACTCATATAAAACACGTGTTCATCAGCCAGCTTCCTTAAAGGATTCAGGGGGATGAGGAAGGGATGGATATAGATGCAAAACAAACAACTCCCAAACAAATGGTGGGCAAAGTCAGTGATTCATCCCAAGGCTTGCACCTTCCCCCTCAGTTTCAGAGCCTTTAATCGCCCACAGTCTCCATCCTCTTATGCCAAGTGCCCTCTTCCCTGATACACATAAAATAAAAACAGGAGCTTGCTAAGCATATGCAGCTTCAAGACAGGCCTTCCCTCTCCCAGTGAGACTGTTGATCAGAGCCTCCTCTGTCAACCACGGAGGCCCTGCTATTTGACTCATCTTTGAGTTTTCATATTCAAGTAGCAACTCATATTCTCTGTGGGCCCGGGGTTCTTTAAAGATCATCTAGCACCACTTTAATGTGGTGCTTGACCCTGCCCTAAAACATTCCTCTTTAGTGACAATCTGCATCAACATCTCTTTTGAGGAATAACTCACTGCGCCAGAAGGTAGACACTTCTATTCTGGGACATACTTAGCAAATCATGCACGAGAATCTGCCATCCCAATGAATAATAAGAGCTAACATTTGTTGACCACCTGTAGCCCCAGATCTGGTCTAAGCTTTTACATGTACTTCTCCTTTAGTCCTAACAATAATTTTAGGTCATTATTACTATCTCCACTTCACAGATGAGCAAATGAGACACAGGGGAGGGGTTTAATTTGCTGCAGGTCAGAAGTTCATGAATAGAGCTGGGATTCAAACCTGGGCAGTGTAACTTCAGACTCCGCCCACTACCCACCATGCAGCCTGCCCCATATCAGAAATGGAAAACGCAGAGCAGGGCAAGGTCAAACCTGAGAGCCTGTTGGATGCCTCCATACTCCTTCCCACAGAGCCCAGGCCCTTGACTGGCTCCCTGGAGCCACACTTCTGAAGAGTCAACAGATGCCAGGTGAGGCCCAAGCCCACATACCTGAAAAGGCCCTGCAAAGTCTGGTGCAGGCACTGCTAAGATGGCCAGGGGCCACGTGGTCAGCTAGAAGCCTCCTGACTCCACGGGCCCCCAGCCCACGGCCCATCAAATACCTGGCAGGAACCCAGGCATGCCACGGCCCCAGCGATCTCTGAGCTCACCAATGGTCCCCTAAAACCAGAATGGAAGAGGCTGGTCTGACCCCATGCTTCTCTCAGTGAGCCCTGCTTTCTTTTCCAAATGTTCCCAAACCATGGTTTAACAGTCCACTGTAGAATTTGTCCAGGAGTTGATGGCATGTTTATTGATACAGAGTTTTGGGGATATATTAAGTAAATCTTTTACTCTTTTACTATCATTATTAAAAATGGACTATGTGATATCATTTTGGGGTGTAACTCATGTCTCTGTGACTCTGTTGGCTACAAGTAGTATTCTTGGACATCTGAGACACATGTGTCTTCAAACAGTGTTTTACATGCCCTGATTGGTTCTTTCCAACCCCTGGATTTGAAATTCCTGAGCCGCAGGCCAGACCCTCATTGACTTGGAGCAGCCAGAGCCCAAGCGCCCGGCCTCAGTGAGTCTTGTAGCCGTGCTGGACACCAAGGCCAGCTCTCAGTTCCCCTCCTTGTGGGGAAGTAGGAAGCAAGCCCAAACAGAAGTGGGTCCTGTTGGCCCCTCATCCGTCGGGTCATCTGCCCCGAGCAGATCCAAACATCATTTCCAGCATTCCAGATCCAAACATTATTTCCACTCTCTTTCCAGACATGTTTTACGGCTTCTTTTCTTCATTCTTATACTGCAGGGTCTGAAGTTACACTGCCCAGGTTTGAATCCCAGCTCTATTTTCGAACTTCTGACATGCAGCAAATTAAAACCCTCCCCTGTGTCTCATCTGTTCATCTGTGAAGTGG